CCCCCCCCCCCCCCCTCCCGCCTCTTCGCACACGTGTGCGTGTCTCCGTGCGGCTCGACCCACTCCCTGTCCGCAATGACCCTCCCGGCCGCTGTGTCTCGCTCGCTGTCGGCGTCCTCCTCGCGTGGCAGCCTCCTGCTCTCCAAATCGCCACGCCCCCTAAGCCCGGCTCTTCTGCAGGCCGTCGGCGCCGCGCCCACCTCCCCCTCGACCTCGCCTCCCGCGCGGTCTTTCTCCACCTCGAGCCTTCGTCCAGGCGCCTCTCTGCCGCCCTCGCCGCCGATCTCTCCGCCGGCCTCCCCCACCCCGCGGGCCGCACGCCACCTCGTGTCGCCCATCCCCACGCCGCCGGGCCCGACCGTCGCCGCACATCTTCACTCCTCGGCCGCCGCCGCCGCCGCCGCCGCCGCGACTCCCACCACCAGCCGCCGGCAATACTCGGCCACCGCCTCCCCGGCCTCCTCTCCCGCCGCCCGGTCGCCAGGGCAGCCCTCCGCCGCCGACATTGAGGCCGAAATCCGCAACGTCTCGGATTTCCAACGGACTTTGCCATTCTTCAGCTCGCCATTCCTGCGGCGCGTCCGCGGTAAGATGTCCTCCAACCCCAAAATGAACCCGGAGGTCTTTGAGGCCACCCTGGAAAAGCTGTCCAAGATGCTCATCACCCAAACCCCGGCCCAGTGCCGTGAGTATCTGGAGCAGGCCAATGGTGACCTGGCCATCGCGGTGCAGCTGTACAAGAGCCAATCGCCGCACTTTGCCTCCAAACGCCAGGCATCCACCCGCCGGCGCCGGGGCGGTGCTGTTGCCTCGGCCGAGCCCGCCGAAAACACCTGCCGCGAGCTGGCCCAGGTCCGCCGGCCGGCGGCCTCCTCCAACTCGGACCTCGGGTCCATCTGCTACTACGACCTGCTGGGCATCGAGCGGACCGCCTCCGACAAGGAAATCCGCAACGCCTTCCGCAAGCTGTCGCTCCTGCATCACCCGGACAAGCGCCAGGCCAACCCGGACGGCAGCGATGTCATGTACCAGCTCATCCACGACGCGTATCAAGTCCTGTCTGACGCCCGGACCCGGGCCCTGTACGACAAGTATGGCCGGCGCTTCTCCTCGAGCCTGATCGACATCTTTGAGAGCCACAAGGAGGGCCTCTCCAATCTGTTTGGCGGCGAGCGTTTCAAGGTGCGCGCCTTGGCC